TTCTATGATTCTATGATTCTATGATATCAAAGTACAGTATACATATAGATAAAAAATGGTGGCAGGGAGACATATGAGTCTTGATTCACATAGATGTGTAGGTGCTTAATGCCTATTTAGGTCTCTAAGTCACATTAAAAATCTGGGATATCTGAGGATTTGCAATGCCATACAGGATGTAAGTAGCAGAAATGAGAACTGAATTGGCTTGCGTGTCTATCAGGTCCCTGATCTTTCAGTTGTAGACAGATTTTATTGCAGTGGCAGAAGCTTTTGGTATTTACTATCACGGAAGCATGCTCTGATACTGCTACAGAAGGAATGATTAATTGCTGTGTGTAGCACTGCACTCACTCTGTTCAGATCAGTAGATGACTTTCAAGACCTTAAAGTAGTCACTGGCAATAAGGCAACAGGTTTTTACAGGTTATTGACAAAGTGGATTGCTGTCCAGAGGTAGTCAGAGTATTCAGGTAGTCAGGTATTTTCAGATTTGCAGTAGATGGCATGTGGTTCACAGCAGAAGCCTACAAGCTTTTAACAATGCACTCAAGAAACTGCAGGTTCAACACATACCTCAGTTTCCCCAGTCCTGCCTTGGTACATGGCTGTGATACCATGAGTCCCTTTATGGACTTTGTGAACTTGAACCTGATTTACATTTGCTCTACTTGTTGACTTACTTTTTAAAAAATATTTTTGGATATTTTTGTCCTAACAAATTCTTCACAGGAATATTGGGTCTTACCTGATGATTCCCCATGTGCTGAGGTCTAGGAGGAAAGCCACTACAGAAGGGCAGAGTATCATCAGACCCTCCCAGAGAACAGAGGCTTCCCGCAGCCCATGGATATCCTTTGTTGGTCAGCACATTTTCTAAAACAAAACACATCTAGAAAGGCAGATACCTTCTGTCATGTTGCTAGAGAGGTATGAAAAGCTGTGCAACTATTCATCAGCATTGCTACCAAACATTTTAATTTTTGGTAAAGAAAATTGTAGAAAGTGTCTATAGCAAATTTGCAAAGTTGAAAGTATGCCTGCCCGCATGACTTGTGGTCATAGGGGCCATTGATCAGCAGAGACCAGAGACGCTTATGATTCTAGGACTGCTGATCAAGTAAATCTTCCTTCCCTTCCCACATTATGCCATGGCCAATCCTTCAGTGTTTTTCTTCCCACTTCCTAGCTGTCAAGCAGTATTTCTAATCAGACTCAATAAACCCCAGAAAGACTTACCAAAGTGAATTAAAAGTTTCCTAGTTCTTCCTCATCTGAAATCTCCTCTAACCAGCTTCTGCTGCTTAGACTTGGTGATTAATTTGTATTTTGACAGTCTAATTCCTGCTCCCTGGGGTCCCGCAGTGACTTCCAGATTCTGTGCTTCACCCTGGAGCAAGAGAAAGGATGTGCCTGCATAGGTTGTGAAGCTCAGAAGATGTAGTTTGAGGAAGTTCAGACAAACTCATACCATGAAGCTCAAACTACTCTGTTTGGGCATGAGCACTTCCTATTACAGGAACTTTTTCCATGTGTCATGGTATTTCTGACTTCAGAAATTAACACTACCTAAAAACTAAGCTGGAAATCACTACTAGAAAATTAGGTATTTAAGACAGAAATGTAACTCAGGACAGGAAAATGAGTTTCTTGTCAGAAGGTACACTGATGGGGAGGAATATCCTTTAGCCCTCTGTAAACATGCCTGACTAATTAATGCTACCTTTCTCCCTGCAGGTCAAATGATGAACTGTTTTTTATTTTGCTTGTTTGGGGAAAAAAAAATCAACTAACTGAGGAAAACTGGTTCTTCTTTTTACACACATAAAGTAATACAGAAAAAAAAGAAATGTTAAGGTTTATCACTCTAGTTTTCATTTTTCTGTAGCATTTTAGTGGCAGTTTTAATTCAGAATCTAAAAGACATCTGTGCTGCTTCATCATACGGTGCTTAGCCATCTTTCCTTACCATGAGGTTAGCATAAAAATTGTCATGAAGCACAACGTTGCAGTTTCTCTTTGCTCCAAAACAGCTCTTCTGAACTGAGGGTTTAAGGAGGAAGTGTTGACACTGACCTTACATTAGTGTGATTATACTCAGCCAAGCCCTCTCTGACCTCCCAGAATGGAGGGCAGCAGTGGCATCTTAGACCCACTTTTCTTCACTTCCTCTATGTTATGCCCTGGGCTTTCGCTATCCCTCCTCTGAACAAGGTATGCCAAACAGGCTCATCAGAAACCAGGATGTCCTTGTTCAGGAAGAGCCTTGAGAAGACTGAAACTGCTTGGTATCCAAGGATGAGGTATATATGGTGAAAGCATTTCTCTTGGCGGCAGACATTTTTGGCTAGGAGCCATCTAGGACCAGCCTGTGGGTGGCCTTCTGAATCCAAATCCAGCCCTACAACTGATATAACTTTTAATAAAAGAAAAACTAGTCAGCTAGCTAGTGTTACCAAGTTTTATTTCCAAATTGCCTTATCTTCAGCTGTTACCCCCTCTGACACCCCATCCCTGCCTTTTTTGCTCCCACACCTCTTCATGCAGATGGTGGATGGTCAGATTTTGGCCCTGACAAGGAGAACCATGGACAATACAGGACCAGCCTGATCAGGAAGCTGATAAACCCAAAGGGGCTGAGCAACACTGATAGTCATGGGGAAATGGATATGGCCATTGGAAGGCATCAGGTCCCTGTTATTACACCACACACATTTCAGGCCTATGGGGGGAAGCAGTGAGAAGTGGCAAAGATGAAGGTCCAGCATTAGCTGCCATCCCCCTCCTACCCACTCAACTGAAAGCTAAGAGCAAAAGCAGTAATCTCACATGGGAATTTTACATCCTTTTGCCCTAATTCAGGAGATTCAAGCTCAGCAACACCAGTGGAAAGAGACTGCCTTGATTTGGAGGATGAGTGACTTCTGTGTGACTTGGAAATAGTGGTTATCTTACAGAGACTATGCTTCATCTTACTGCACTTTTTGTTTCCTTCACAGAAAGCCCAGTTCAACTGGGATCCAGAGACAGTGGGACTCATTCATGGCTCTTTTTTCTGGGGTTACATTGTGACACAAATTCCAGGAGGGTTCATCTCAAACAAATTGGCTGCCAACAGGTAAGAAAATAATAATAAAAAGAATTAAGCTTTACAGCCTGATGACTGTTTTACACTGACGATTAGCAATATAGTGAATTGATATGTTTCAGGAACACACATCTGAAACTGAATGGGCAGTATTTATGTCTATAACCAAAAATGGGGCTAGATTTCCACGCTTGATCTATTGACCATTCTCCTGATTTAGCTTGTTCATCTCAAATATTTACGTATTTCTTCTTCTCTAAACAATACTGCTTTCTGGAGAGTGTTAGGAAAATCACACTTAATACTTCAGACAATGACTGTAGCCGTTGTCTTTCAGAAATTGCCGCAGTGCTTTTTAACTCAACTTAATACTAAACAAACAATTTCCAACAAAATTTTACTTTTTTCCTTTAAAAATTTTCTGTGGACTGAAGCTGGGCATATAGGCATTAAAAAACTCTATGTTCTGAAGACACAAATCTCATCCTCATGCACGTGGGTAGCCTTGCCATGGCTGGATACAGTACTGACCTCTGTAATTAGGATTGTCTTGAACTTCTACTAGAGCTTCATGATTTTCATTTGGCTAACTCTGAGCATCTATACAGATTTCTTCTATGCTCACTGTGTTTGTGGTCTGTTGGGTTTTTGTTTGTGGGGCGGTTTTTTTTTTTGGTTGTTTTTTTTTTTAAATTCAACTGCTTGTGAAAATGAAAGCAAGAAAAATAGCTAATTTTGCCAAAACTTACTTTAGTTTTGGGCTTTACTTCAAAAAGTCTTCAAAACTTGCAATATGATCACAATAGAAAGGAGATTATCTGAAGACAGCTGGTTGTGAATGAGCTCATGAGATGTGCATGTTCAGGGTGTTTGGGATGTACAGATAAAAAAGATGGTTGGTACTCATTCCCTGCAAACAAGACATGACTTATCTACACTTTCAGAATTAGAAAAGGTTTTAAGACTAGTTACATATTGTTTTGCTGCAGATCAAAGTACTTTGTTCTCTGCATTCTGCAAAGAGCTATTGGGGTTACAAGACTGCCTGGGAGTTCTTCCCATCCATATACCCTTATTGAAATTACTCCAGGACAGAGTCATCCCATAGAATTGCCCAGAAGTTCAGTCCCAACTTCCCTCTGTCCATAACCAAAAGCTACTCAGAGATCAGTTTGCATTGCTTCTTCAACACTACTAACATCCTCAGTTATTCATTTCTCTACTGTACAAAATTGCCTAAGCAGAATATTTTTCCATCTGCCAAATAAACCAAACAAATTAGCTAAGCTTAATCATTTCCCCAGTCTTTCTAATCTTGACACCAGCTTTTGCAGCAGAAGGGCCCCAGAACACAGATGTGCACACTGTTGGCTGAATAAGTCATCTTATTATTAGTTTGGCATTTGTCTCCTTAATTTTCTTGCAAACAGTAAATTCAACCATGTTTACAATGAAACACAATGTATTCTGTCAGTGGACTACCTCCTTAGGTACATGTTGTGCATATGCACAGAAAGCTGTATTTCTCTCCCCCTGAGAGTTTCAGAATCAATCTAAAGCTATACTACAACATCCCATCATGTATTTGACTATCAAAACTGGGTTTAGGAGTAGAGTTTTCTAAGGAACAACAATATCCCAAAAGCTGAGCTCAAAGATAATTTCTGTTTGCAATACTAGGATTCACAGGTCATGGACGCCCCTACCCCAGGCACTTCTCTAATGCAAATAGTTATCTGTAATAATGAGGGGTTCAACTGGATGTCAGAACAGCTGAAAATATCAAGTCCTTTATGGTTTTGCACCACCTAAAACCTTGTAATTTGCTTTATATGTTGATCTAAATTTGTGTAGGTCTGCATTCCACCAAAAAGTTCATGAACCATTTCATGACAATGTCCCTTTAACTTGCTACTTATCCTCAGTCATGCATCTAAACATAATTTCATCATTGTTTGATGGTGACAAGGATACGAGACATAAGGCATCTCCTGATACTGGTTTTCAGTAACAGCATCCTGCTGTGCAGAGCAGTCCACCACTGAAGAAATCTGTTTTGATCCCAAAGTGGCAGCTGGCTGGGGATCATGGCAGTGAGGAGAGAACAGATGAATGGATTTAACAGAACTGGGATATTTTTAATTGTGGTGGGACCAATGTCTTTGTGATAAACGGCAGTGAACTGCTGGAAAAATGTTGGCTCTTTGTGGAAACACTTCTCACCCTTTTAAGTAGTAGCAGAAGAGTGACTGGTTCTAACTCAGTATAAATGATGCATTTACAACCTAGCCATGTTAAGAGTTGGCACTAAACGAAGTAGTAGAGATTTGAAACAGTCTTCAGAGCTAGCTGTTTGGATAATTAAACACATTCTTTTTCTTAGGTCTTATTCTTTCATGCACTTATTAGTTTACCTAATTTGCTGTAGTTCGCTGGTACTGTCAATAATGTTCTGATAGCAGACCTAATATTTCTATTAGTGGCAAGGAAGCAAGGCGCAAAACTCTTTTCTTCTCTGATCATAATAGAGAGCTAAGCAATACTTTCTTCTCAGTTAAATGTTTACTTGGCTTTGAAAGCAGTATCCTAAATGTCAAGATATGATCATAGGCTTTGTATTCTAGTTCAGATTTTCAGACCACTTTCTATATAAATACATTCCTTTGTCACTTCTCTCTGCCAGTCTACCTACCCTCTTTGCTTTTCTGTTCATCTGTTGAGTGCTTTCTTGTCATTCAGATTATAAACTATCTAGGCACGGACTGTTGTTTTTGTCAATAGGTGTAGAGAACTTAGATAAGACTGAGTTGATCTCTGTCTGTAGATTCTTCAGGCTATAATATTACCATTAATTCTACTGTGAATAATAAGACCAGATTAAAAAAAATGATGTGGCATACATGTCCTGTGAACAAGTTTTCAGAAAGAGACTGAAATGTAAACAATTGAAATCCTTATTTTTTTTTAAAAAAAAGAAGAAAAGAATAGCAGCAAAATATTTTAAATGTTTATAAATATTTTGAAGTGGAGCATGACAGACAGCTATCTGTGTATGTCTTCTGCAGAAAAACCAAAAGGGATAGAAATACTGCAGTTTTCCAAATCATATGATTTCTGATCAAATATCTGTCTAATAGCATTCATATATCAGAAGGAAGCCTAATGCCACACACATAACAAGACAATTCAAAGCTTGCTAAATGTCACTGAATTTGAGTAGTTTGAAAAAGGAACACAAATTATGGTCCTCAAACAGCAGCATGCTGCTAGCTGATGTCAGTGTAGCTAGGAGTTGAGGGCCTTGAACGGAAGAGGCTGGTTTATTCTCAGGGTGTCACCTTGAGTCTGGGAGCAAGACAGGGCAGCTTTGGGCTGACCTCCCATCTCCTAAGCACTGTGGTGTACAAACCGCTGCAACTTTCTATCTGCAGAACAAAAGATCTCCCACACAAAAGCAGTCTGCAGGGAGACAGACATGGTTACTTTGAATTGCAGACAACACAAAGAAGACAGTATACTACTAAGAACTGGTAGTAATCCATTAAATTTAAATGGTGCTTGGCAGTTGTGGAGAGCTCCTGCTGACAGTTCTGATATTTTTCAGTGCTGTAATAGGATCTTAGAGGGGATCCTCATGTGTATCAGCTTTCACAGATGCTGGAGTAATGAACTCTTGATAGTCAGAGAGTGCATGATGTAGCTTTTGAAGCCCATTCATTGCACAGAAAGGAAACCAGAGGCTTCAGTCAGCCAGATGTGGAGATATATGAAATCTAATCAATTGAGTACAGCTCATTCCGTCTAACGGTAGTAATTTCAGTGGTTGTTCCAGCTGGTTGCTCCCGGTCTCTTTCTTGGTTTCCAGTTATGTTTTTCGTGGTGCAGCAGCCCCAGTTTCTAATTGTTCTCCCTAGATGTCCTGTCATGAGCTGGACACCCAGGATTGCTTTTGCCTTGCACTGCACCATCAGTGCCTGGCAAACCTGCAGTCCATGCCATACTGAATTGTTTGTCCTGTAGCCCAGCCATTTTTCCTCTTTAGTGTCACTGTTGTTTACTATTGATGCAGGGTGGTAAGTGTGCACCACTCTTCAGTTAAACATAATAAAGCCTGTGTCTGTGCTGGAAAAAGCTCCCACAGACTGTGGTGAGTGAGGCAGACACGGCTTTGAGTCCTGCCCTAGGGCTTCTGAGTGGCTTGGACTTTCAGGGATGCTGCTTGGACCCATTACTACTACACAGAGGTTGCTGCTGCCTGTTTCTCTAAGGACTGCTAACATTTGAGAGGCTGCAAAGGCACTGGGCCCCAGGGGCATTTAGAGCCTCTACTGACTTGTGCCGAGCTGCAGCAAGTGCTCTTCCCAAACAGGGTAACAAAATGTTTATATCATGTTTTACACAGAAGCTGTCTTGTAGAAATGAGCCTTCTATGTCACAGTCACAAAGGATATTTGTAGCTGTTATTTAGACAAGTGGTGTTGGAAAGGACTTGATCTTAAGCAGCACTGTTATACATTCTAACAGCAGCAAGTGGAACTAACCAGCACACTCCCATGTTCAGAGAAGCACTTAAACCACACTTTACCTGATTTAAGTTAAAACCTATTGATATAACAGAATTTATGTATTTCCCAGTATAGGAATGATTCTCTTGGGTCAGGACTCATATAAACAGCTTAGCCTCCAGTACCAACACCCATATCTATTCCTCTGATACAAAGGAAAATCCAGTATCTTTGTTAAAGTATGTATAAAACTTCTGTTCCATCCAGAGAAGAAAATTTATTGACCATATGGAGATTTTTCCCCTTTGCCAATAAGGGGACTTTACAACTATTTGGGTTGGTGAGATGATGGTACGTGAGATTGCCTCTATGACTGTACTCAAGAACAGAGTGGCTTCTAAAAAGTAGGCAATAATTATATTCCCTTTCATGTTACCTTTTTCCATAGGGTATTTGGAGCAGCTATCTTTCTAACATCTACACTGAACATGTTCATCCCTTCTGCAGCAAGAGTGCACTATGGCTGTGTGATGTTTGTGAGGATCCTGCAAGGTCTGGTGGAGGTAGGAGCACTCACCATTTTGGTCCTTTCATACATGATTTGTTTTTGGAGATTTGGTTCTAAAAATTTGTAAGATCTTTTGGTCAGGTTTTCTAATCTGTCTGCAGTTTTACTTGTTACTAATTTTTAGATTATTTTTTTTAAAAAATCATACCGGTTTATATTTTTAAGTTTACTTAAAAGAATACAAAAAGTTTAGGTTTCCAGTGCTGCAGTTTGAGCTATTTTAGTTTCCTTCTGCCATCCACTGCATGTACTACCCAGCACTTTTGCCTCAGAACACATTACCATTTAAATGTTTATCCAAACTAGTTTAACTTCTTAATACCCAAACAACAGAGCTCTTTCAGGCTTACCTAACCCTTCCTACATCATTCCATGGTGAGAAAGAGCTAGACAGGTTGGACCATATCAGCAACTGCTTGAAGTACAAATGCAGTGGAAGTAAATCATATGATGTGTGAAATGTCTGCCAGGGTGTCACCTACCCAGCCTGCCATGGGATGTGGAGTAAGTGGGCTCCACCGCTGGAAAGAAGCAGGTTGGCCACCACATCGTTCTGTGGTAAGTTGGTAGACTTCTATGGTTTACATAAGTACATATTCTTATTAGACATATTATATTAATTTAATTATTTAAAAGAGAAATGCAGACCCTCTGCCCTTTGCTGTACCTGCCCATGTACCCATTCAGCTTGGACTCTGAGCTCAGGAATCTGAGAGTCTTTTTGTCTAATATGTCACCATATTATTATTTAAAGCCAACCCTCAGAATGGCTCTTGTAGTAAACTAAAATGGGTCTAGAGGTGTCACAAGAGAGTAATCACCCTTCTTTTTTTACTTCACTTGCTCAATCCTTATGGATTTCATTTATTATACATATTTAATTGATTCACACAGAATCACAGCATGTTAGGGATTGGAAGGGACCTCGAAAGATCATCTAGTCCAATCTCCCTGCCAGAGCAGGATCACCTACAGTAGGTCACACAGGAACGCGTCCAGGAGGGTTTTGAATGTCTCCAAAGAGACTCCACAACCTCTCTGGGCAGTCTGTTCTAGTGTCCTGTCACTCTCACAGTGAAAAATCTTTTCCTTTTGTTTACATGGAATGTCCTATGCTCCAGCTTGCACCCACTGCCCCTTGTCCTACTGTTGGACATCACTGAGAAGAGCCTGGCTCCACCTTCCTGACATTCACCCTTTACATATTTACAAACATTAATGAGGTCACCCCTCAGTCTCCTCTTTTCCAAGCTAAAGAGACCCAGCTCCCTCAGCCTTTCCTCATAAGGGAGATGCTCCACTCCCTTCATCATCTTTGTGGCTCTGTGTCGGACTTTCTCCAGCAGTTCCCTGTCCTTCTTGAACTGAGGGGCCCAGAACTGGACAAATTATTACAGATGTGGCCTCACGAGGGCAGAGTAGAGGGGGAGGAGAACCTCTCTCCACCTACTAACCACACCCCTTCTAATGCACCCCAGGATGCCATTGGCCTTCCTGGCCACAAGGGCACAGTGCTGGCCCATGGCCATCCTGCTGTCCACCAGGACCCCCAGGTACATTTCCTCTACACTGCCCTCCAAAAGGTCTGTCCCCAACCTATACTGGAGCCTGGGGTTGTTCCTGCCCAGATGCAAGACTCTACACTTGCCCTTATTATATTTCATTAAGTTTTTCCCTGCCCAGCTCTCCAGCCTGTCCAGGTCTCGCTGGATGGCAGCACAGCCTTCTGGCATGTCAGCCACTCCTCCCAGCTTTGTACCATCAGCAAACTTGCTGACAGTGCACTCTGTTCCCTCATCCAGGTCATTGATGGATATATTGAATAGTTTTGATTCTCTTAAGCAAGCATGCACTTAAAAAGATATCTTAAAAGGGCTTGAGTACTTTAGCCTGGCTGCTCAGTATATTGCAGTAGAGGTGATGTAACTTCTTGCTGCTGGCTGTTCTGCTTCACTCTGTTTTGAATTATGATCAGGCTTATACTTTGCTCTCTTCTCTGGGTTCCTTTCCAAAGCTGACAGATGGTCTTCTGGAAGATGGCTTGTGGGAAATTTCAGAAGACTTTGGGGAGAGGAAGCCAGTGGAAAGATGGGATAAATCAAACTCTCTCATTCCCTTTGGATTTTTTCTAGCCTCTGGCAAGAGCCTTAAACCTTGTTATGAAGCAGGGAACAGAAAAAATACTGAGGTTTTACACCTTGTTCTTCAAGGAACACATCATTTTTTTGCTTACAGCCACAGTAATGAAAAGAAAAAAAAATTAAAAAGACTTTTCTACCTTTAATTCCACCCACCAGGTAGCAGTTTTTGCCATGGGTCATTCTGTGCTTCTGTGCACAGTCTCTTTCCAGAAAAGATGATGTGAGTGTCATATCTGTCTGTCCTTTTCCCAGGTCTAGTTTGAGCTGCCCCCTCCTCATACACTCTCCTACTTAAGGTCTTCCTCTTCTTTTGGTAACCCTACAATCTTCAATTAGGTGGTAATTCCAGGGGAAATGTTGAATGTTAGTATTCCCTTACTAGCTCCAGTCTGGATTTGGGTGGATGGTTAAATGTAAGGAAGATAGGACATAATCCAAATGTACTCCCTCTGCCTTTTTATCCTAAAAAGTCCAAATATGCAGAGTACAGGACAGAAATGTTTTTGCTGGAATTTCAGATGCACTGTGTTGGGAGCAAAAGGAAAGGCTTTGGCCATTACTTCACTCTGTCATTTCCCATCCTCTAAAACACCCTCGTCATCTGTGTTTGGTATGTCCCTTCCCATTTATAACTGGGAAGTTGGAACAGTGAGTGGATGTCTAATGGTCCTGAAGAAAAATCAGAAATAGTAGGACTTTGAAGATTAAGCAGCTCTCCACCCTCGATGCTCTCTGCTTGAAATCCTAGCACTGGGTAGAGAAAGATCCATCCTAACCTCAGCACCCATTTTAGTGGCTACAGATCACTGATTCTTGCACTTGAAATGTGCACAGGAACAGTGGAAAAATTAAGAAACCCCATGTTAACCAGTGTGCTGGTTTCTCTGGCTATATTCTTACCTAGGGTTTTGCTATTGCTGTAGGAAAAATGAACGACAGAAACGAGGGGGAATGGTTACTGTGAACCTTTGCAGAGAAGTATTTGCTAATGAGTAGAGCATTAACAAGTACTCATTAACAAAGCGTGTAATACTCTCAAAAACACAAGTGTCTCATTTCCTAGAATAATTCAAGGCAACTCTTCTCACATGTGAAGCCACTGACACCATCTTGCACCGAAACCAAATGTCCCGATTGCATTAATTCTCCCTAGGGTCTTAATGGAAATTCCTTTTGAAGCACTTAAATACTCATCTCTTTCTACAAGACACTTGGAAATATGTTTTACCAGTATTATAAATTTCCCAATCAGAAGCCTTGGCACAGACTACTTTTTTATCCTTTTTTTACCTGTCAGCTTTTGCCTATCTATTCCAGCTGTTTGTTCATGCCACTGATATGAATTAAACATGGTTAAACAGACTCAGGGTTGGTCTGAACACCTCATCTGCTATCAGGGCTTGTGGGGTCATGGGGTTAGAGCCATGATGACAGCCTCCCAGCATATCTGCAACCATCAGGATTTCTGGACACTAAGAAGGTTTCTGAAACTTGGGCCATTAGCTTCTCCAGTGCTCACCTCATACTCCACGTGCTTAGGTGGGATTCCCCACTTAAGTGCATGAATACAGCTTATGACTGCCCTGTCATTTGCCATCAGTCTTGGATTTGCAAATTCCATTTATCTACAGAGCACAATCCTTTTAACTGCAAAATGAGACTGGTGATTCCATGCCTGCAAATGCCAGTCCTTCCCACCACTCCAAGAAAAATTTTACAGTTGCCATCCCCTATCCCCATGTTCACAAGAAATCATGGTGCCAATCAGCCAGAGGCATGCCACCAGTTCTGCCCCATGAATGCCTTCCTGGATCATCTGCACTGAAGGCTGAGTGTGCCTATCATAGCTGACATGTTTTATTAATCCTTTTTCTTCTCAGGGTCTTATGCAGGTGCAGTGGTCGCCATGCCGCTGGCAGGTGTGCTGGTACAGTATATAGGATGGTCATCAGTCTTTTATATTTATGGTGAGTTGCTTAACATAAAGGATCTCTGCGACTATACTGGTAGTGCCAGCGGTTTTGTTAAATCTGTGTAACAAGTATGGATGAAAGTTGTTTTGGGCAATAAAGATGTTGCAAATTGTTATTCGAAGTTATTCCCTACTTATTGCAGCTTCTGAAAAAATGTATTTTGTAACCATCTGTTGTAAAATGTTTTAAAATTGTAATGACCAGGCTACACGTGGTCACACAGTGACAAGGTTGGATGCAGTTGCAAATGTTGGTCTGTAGCACAAACACTTATGTGATATGTGTCCGGAGCGCGTGCTGACAGTGAATATTACAGCATATGCTGCTGATGGGGAGCTGAATGCCTCTGAAACCTTCTGACCTGAGACATCTGCCCCATGCTGCCCACCCTCGGTGATGCAGTGCCACATTTACAAACTGCTCCCATAACATGGGTACAGCCTCATGGCTGATCTGTTGTGCCTCGCGCTTCCCCTCGCTGTAAGTGGCAGAGCTGGCTCAACCCCAGCCTTCCACATCAGCAACCCAGTTAAGATGGGTTTTCTCTGGAGACACGGAACATACCATATGATCTGCCACCACAATCTGATTGTGAAGTTCCTTTATGCAGATTGTGACCATGTTATGACTGGTCTGCTTTTTTCCCAGGCCTTGCAAAAAGCTTTACTTCTGTCTTTTCTCTGCCCCACACATATGATGTAATACAAGCAACAAGACGTTCAAATGCTTTGCAAGCAGGCACACAATATACACAGAGTTAGTTATAATATTTTCTTACTTCCCTGGGCATATTTTTTATGCAGATTTGGTTTAACTGGCTCTCGAAACAAACTTAAAGACCTACAGATACTGAAGTGTGGCATTATTGGCTTTTAAAACCAAGCTTTTCTTTTAATGCCTATGCAGGAATGTTTGGGATTGTTTGGTACATGTTCTGGCTGCTTCATGCTTATGAGAGCCCTGCTGCACATCCAACAATAACCAATGAAGAACGAGTATATATAGAAACAAGTATTGGAGAAGGAGCCAGCCTAGCTAGTGCAAGTGTAAGTAAAAAAGTCTTTTCTGGTTATAATTTGTGAGCACTTTGCACAAGATGAGCATATGACTGGATGGACACTATTAGCTGCATAAAGAGCAGCAGAACTATTTTCTGTTGATGTTTAGGGGTTTTTCCTTTTATGAAAATTACAGGATCAGGCTCCTGCAGCTTGACAGGATGAGTTCAGTAACAGTCAAAACACGTAGTGCTGTTTTGGCTCTTGGCTTATAAGGCCTCTCTAATCTAGGGAGGGAAGGGAGTGGGGACAGAGGGGAAACCACACGCTGGTCTTCTGCTCTTGAGTAACTATCATGCTTGTTCTAAAAAATATTAATGGAAATATTTAAATAAGAAAATGGCTGCAGATGTTAAATTATCCCGCTGCCTTTTGAGCTCTTATTAAGGATGATTGCAATTCTGAAAACTTAAGGACAGGGTTTCTGCCCTGCTCACTCTCACAGCAGCTCAGCTCCTTGTTTTAAGACTTCTCACCCTCTCTCTGAGAGGATCCTGGAAGATCCTGGAAATGTAAAGCTAAAACCTATTTTCCCATCAAACCTCTCTCCATTCCCTTAGGTAACTTATGTTTCCTAGTGGTAAAAACCAAAGCTTTTTCTTTATAAACTATCCCTTCTTGGCTTTTACTCTTAAACATTCTGGAACAAAACAACTCCAGACTCTTTCCTCTACATGTTTTGGGCAATAGCCTTGCTGAGAGTGTAAAGTACAAGACTCGCCTTTTGGGCATACTCCTGAAATTTGGCTGAAGTCACTCAGGTCTTGGCTGGAGCTACACATACTTGTTCCAGGTCATGGTATTCCCTTGCTGTAGAGTGGTTTTACTGCAGAGGACACTAGTGCCACCAACACAGTTCATGCATAACTGCAGGCATAAGGTTGCCTATAGAATAAAACTACCTTTTTTTAAAAAATGAAAATGTCACTGTATCTTGCCATAGTTACATATTTCAGCTTCTGATTTAAATTCTGTTGTAAGTGAATTGGGCTCTGAAGTGCTTTTTGTTCCTGCTATATGGAGTATTGGAGCACAAATAGAAACTGGAAATGCCAAAAGCGAATTATGGAAACTAAATCCTCTACCACAGCCTTTTTTTTTGCTGTGAATTAGGTTGAAGCAGGTAGCTGCTTATTGCTGCACTACTGCATGTTTCTTAGCTTGGATAACCCCTTTTTCACAATCCTTTCAGTGGAATGTCTCAAACTGCATCATGCCAAAGAGTGGGGAATGGCACAAGATTTTTTTATTTATTTTGATTCTGTTATTGATCTTGTTACCCCAATAGCAGGATTCCAGAAGACCTTGTGTAATTTCAGTAAGCAAGGCAATAGTAGTATAGTAGTCATCTTAAAAATTCTAACTATTCTAAGAAAGTTTCTCTACCTGTTTTTTGCCACTAACCCAGGAGATACTTTTCACTTGCATTGTAAGTGATTTACAGTGTAAATTGGATGCAATGTACTGGATAGTCTTGCTACTAAAAGATAATGGTTCTTTATTCTGCCTCTGACTACTCAATTCTGGATTTTTCCTAGAAATTTAGTACTCCTTGGAAGAGATTTTTCACTTCAATGCCAGTTTACGCAATCATTGTGGCAAACTTTTGCAGAAGCTGGACCTTCTATTTGCTCCTTATAAGTCAGCCTGCTTACTTTGAAGAAGTCTTTGGATTTGCAATCAGCAAGGTAATGTCTGAGATGAAGCAGTGACCTTCAGATCTCACCCGAGGAGTTGCAAAGTACTTGAGGTGCCCCAGATCCCCCTGGAATTATTACAGTAGATTATTCCCAGTAGTTGGGATGACATACTTCTGGTGATATGATAGAAATAAAAGCTTTCTAGCATCAAATTATTAGAAAAATTAAAGAATTGAGAAGTTGTTTTGGGAAAGAATTTATTAAAAACCTCTATATATCATAAAAACCACAAAGTAAATAAAAAATGCACATTTTGTTCAGTGCTGGCCATTTAGCATTATTTGCCAGGTAATTTTTTTCCCCTTATTTTTTTTCATTACTTTTCAATGACAATGAGGGGCCAAAATTTGTATAGATTTATATTCTCTGACACTGCCACTTTATTAAAGTCCATATTGTTACAGTCCCTCTTCAGAGAATAATTGTTCCAGAAAAGTTTTCCCAACATTCCTTTAAAAAACCTACTTGCTATGTTGTAAATTTTTTTCAAGCAAATGTAATCCTGCAAACTGATAACAAACAACATCATTATCTGTGTGGTCTGGGAGCCCAGGTGTGCCCAGGTTCTGCAATGCTGGCATGGTAGCAATTACACTCTGAATGGCAAAGTACAGCATGGAGGTGAAGAACAGGGGTATTAAACAAATTAGAATTGCTTATTCTGAACTGCCTTTCTTTAATGCTAGAGTTGCACCTCTGTATACCTCACTAATTAAAAAGTAACGTAAAACTGAGTTTCAATGTAAGGAGGTTGCACATCCTAGAGAATAACCTCAAATTTCTCACTAAATTACTGCTTCAAATAAAAGCTTCCAGAAGATGACATGCTGATCACTGCAACTCCGCAAAATACTCTTTTTGCATATCTGGGATAAGTACCAGAGCTAACAGGAAACGTAATAACCCTTTGGCAGAAAATTCACCAAGGGAAAGTCATGCTTGACCAACTTGATAAACTTCTATGATTAAATGACTGGGATCCTCATAGACAAGATATTGATGTATGAGCTGGTTGAACAAGTACTGAGGTGGATTGACAACAGGCTGAATGGCCGGGCCCTGAGGGTGGTGATTGGTAGTACCAAGTCTAGTTGCAGATCAGTAGCTACTGGTGTACCCCAGGGGTCAGACTGGTTCTGATCCTGTTTGACATCTTCATTAATGATATGGATGATGGGGCAGAGTGTACACTCAGCAAGTCTGCAGATGACACAAAACTGGGAGGAATGGCTGATACACTAGAGGGTTGTACTGCCATTCTGAGGAACCTTGACAGGCTGGAGAAACTCTAAAGCTGACAGAACCATCATGAAGCCTCACAAGGGGAAGTGCAAAGACCTGCACGTGGGGAAGAACAAGCCAGCAGGTAGAGGGAGGTGATCTTTCTCCTCTACACTGCACTGGTGGTGCTACACATGAAGTACTGTGTCTGATTCTGGGCTTCCCAGTACAAGAAAGACGTGAATATACTGGAGAGAGTTCAATGAAGGGCCTCAAAAATGATTAAGGAACTGGAGCATCTCTCCTATGAGCAAAGGCTGAAATAGCTGGGATAGTTTAGCCTGGAGAAGTGAAGGTTCAGTGGGGACCTCATCAATGTGTACAAATATGTGGAGGAAGGGTATAAAGAAGACAAAGCCAGGCTCTTTTCATTGGTACCCAGTCACAGGTCAAGAGGCAGTGGGCACAAACTGAAGTGCTGGAGGTTCCCTCTGAACACAAGAAAACACATTTTTACCGTGAGGGTGACTGAACACTGACACAGGTAGCCCAGAGTGGTTGTGGAATCTCCATCCTTGGAGACATTCAGAAGCTGTCTGGATGTGTTCCTGAGCAACCTGCTTTAGGTCGTCCTGCTTGAGCAGGGAGATTGAAGAGGATGACTTCTTCATCTGAGGCTTCCAACCTCAACCATTCTGTGATTCTGTGAAAACGAAAAGAACATGAGCATCAATTTATAGGTTCTAAACCCATGAAAGTAAAATTACATGCATGACTTTAAACATATGCTTAGTTAATAATTTGTAAAATTATGTCATAATGTCAAGTTTTATGCTGCACATTCTTCAGTCCATAGACAATGTGCAGGTGTTTCCTTCCTTTACACAGTGGCAGGTAACAGGGATAGATTTGTTATTCAGAGAGGAGCTCCTTAAGAACAAGAATAATAAAAATATATAAAAGCAGTTGAAAACCAAGAAGGAACACTAATATCAGGACACATGACAGGGGTTTGTGATGTCTACAATGGAAGTTAATATTAAGAATCTTCTATGCAACTCTTTAATTAAACCATGGAAGAGCAGCGATATTGTAGGTAGGTCTCTCACTTGTGCTCTGGCCTCTCCTCCTGGGCTGTAAGGAGATACTCCTTTCATCACCCAACTTTGGGCATCTACTCTAACCAGCTAAATTAGAGCTGTTTTCTTGTGATCCTTTGCTGGTCATTAGAAAGAGGAAAAACACCATTAGAGCATCAGCTTCAGACTTTTAAGATAGAGGTCTCTTTTTCCTTTTTATTATGGCTTGGATCTCTTCCCTGTGCCTCTTCAATATGTACAAATACATAGAGCTTTTCCTACTGTCAGGAAAGAAATAGAGGGAGGGAAAAATCCTAACAGCCCTTCTCTCCTTCAGAGAAGGAAGGAGAGAAGGAAGGAAGGAAGGAAGGAAGGAAGGAAGGAAGGAAGGAAGGAAGGAAGGAAGGAAGAAGAAACACCACCTTACAGCCCAAAAAATGGAGGAAGTTGCCCAGGCACTTCCCACTTCACTAGTTCCCTAGGTGCTGGGCAGCCAAAGGGTGCTCTGCACAAGTCCAGCTTCCTGACAGGGGCAAGTTACTGAACTGCCCCTTTGGACAGAGCACTGTGTGACCCCAGCAGTGAACAAACAGCCCCATTTCTGACCCTGTCTGTCAGGGAAAGTGACTGGACAGCATCTAGTACCACAGGGAGCATTCTGTAGGCTCCACTTTCCAGGTACAGTATCCTGCCAAGACTCACCTCCCAAGCCCTGGCAGAGATTGTGGACCAGGGCTGAGGTGAGTAGCTTCTGGCCATGCTGCGGCTCACATACTGCTATTACTGGGAAGGTCTGGGAGAAAAGCTGCTACTACCTGAATGAGAGTATGCTGGAGACTCTCAAGCTCTTAGAAATTCATAAATATGCGACAAAGGTAGCTTAAAGTCACGTAGGTCTTGGTTGCAGGTCCTATAGGACCTGTCTGCAATCCTCCCACACAAGGTTCCAGGATAAAAAAGCATCTGATAAGGAAAAAGAAAGAGCTGAAGAAAAGTTATGGTTCCTGTTCTCTTCCCCCTAAATCCTGAGGGAGGATAAGAGCAGTGAGCCCTCATTTGTCTAATTGCAGGTTGGCCTTTTGTCGGCAGTTCCTCACATGGTCATGACAATCATCGTACCCATTGGAGGGCAGCTAGCTGACTTCTTACGGAGCAGGAAGATTTTAACCACTACCACTGTAAGGAAGGTCATGAATTGTGGAGGTACTGTTGGATTCTGAAAATATGATATTTTAATTTTGTGCTGCGGTTGATGCAAATATAGTTTGGTCCATGTTTAATTGTAACAGGAGACAAATTACTCTAGATTGCATTTGCAGCTGGTTAATTTGAAGCATTTAATGGAGAGCTGATGTTTGATGTCCTCATGGTATAAATCCTTAGTCATATAAGCATGGTTTTAAAAAGCAAGAAGCCTGGTTAATAATTAAAAAGGCAATAGGGACTGACCCAAAAGAGTAGTATGACCAAATAGGCCTCATCCTGCAAACTCATGCAGACAAAGCTAACCAAATACCATGATGCTGGAGAGACCCTTTCCCAGTGGATGCAGCCTTGCAATAACTGGCCTTGTTCCTATGTGCTGCTTCCAGCAGAACCCACTGGCAAGTTTAGGATGGAAGGGTTGTGTAAAAAAAAGGCAAGGGATGGACAGACTCATTTTTACTCAGCACAAAATAATTTGTTTCCAGTTCAGTCACTGAACAGAAAAATCACTGACATGTACATGTAGGGATGATACTAAATTAGGGAAAAAATTTCAAGTCAGATATCCTGTGGAGTCATCCTCCTCTGCCAGTTCCTGGATTACATTATTTATTGATGGCATGGACTGCCTGAAATAGAGATCTTTCCAGTCAGAGATACCACGAAGCTTGGTTATGCATCTTCACAAAGGATTCCCAAAGTCATTGCATTTTCAGGGCTTATTTTCAGTGTCATTACAAAAAAAAAAAAAAAAAAAAAAAAAAAAAAAAAAAAAAAAACCCCCAAAAAAAAAAAAAAAAAAAAAAAATCAACCAAAAAAACCCCCCAAAACAACCAAAACAAACAAAAAACCACAGAAGGATTTTGATGTTACATATTAGAAAATAATAAGTTGTAGTAATGGCAGAGACTGGAAGATCCCTGTGATGCTCAGGGATGTCCTATAGTGTTGATAACGCACTTCTATGTGTCTCTCATGCTCTTTTGTTCCATTTACCAAGAACATCTCACACCACTACAACCATGAGTAATTAAAGGCAAGAAGTGTTTTTCTCCTTTTCCTATCATGTTTGTGTGTTTGTGAATTTTCTAGGGCTTTGCAAAGAGTCACTTTCTCATTGTTTCTCTGAACTGCTCAGGGAGTTAACTTCACCAATTGCTTGGGGCATTTACACAGCAAAGAGAAGAAAAGAGTATATTCTCACACAACAGATATTCAGATATTTCCACGAATCTACAAAGCTTCCAAGAAAGTTCAAGAATAGCTATAAGATATGAAAGAATTTTGTCTCATTTTAAGTTGCTATTCTGGCTAGGCCTTATCAGTATCTCTGTAACTAATGGTTATTTAAATGTAATTTATTCCCATGTGTTTCATTTGAAGGCTTTGGGATGGAAGCAACCTTGCTTTTGGTGGTTGGTTATTCTCATACAAAAGGTGTGGCTATTTCCTTTCTGGTGTTAGCAGTAGGCTTCAGTGGCTTTGCAATTTCAGGTAAGAATTTATCTTATTAATGGTTTTATTATTAGTGATAAAAGTGATGTTATTAGCCTCACTATTGTTGCTGTCATCATTTCTATTACTCTATTTGCTCTTAATGTGGCTGCTTATGAGGTATTTCCTCTTTCTTCCCATATCAGATAAAATTTACTTCAGTATCTATGAAATGTGTTGCACATAGGACATAAAGCTGTGAAAGAACCAGCTCTTTATTGATTCCAGTATACATCAGCTTTTTGCTGTTATTTTCCAATATACTTTTACAGTGTCAGACACCTTTCTTCTTGCATAAACATTATCCCTAAAAGGAGAGAGAGAGAATTACTCTGAAATTAATAGTTGCTCAAAGGCTATCAGTTGCAGCCCTACTCCCAGCCATAGCTGCCAGTTTCTGCTTTCTAGGTCAGTCCTCTCTCTGTTGTGTCCTATAACCAGCCCTTCTCCAGAACAGCTCTAACACTAATGGGTCTCACCAGTCTGACTTTTGCAGCTCCACCAGTATCATCATTATTAAAAAAACCCCTTTTGTTATGAAGATGGAAGGCCATCAGCTAGCAGGCTGACAAGAAGATTAATCTCTTGAACAAAATTGACCAGCAAATAACTGCTGGTCTTCAGTTGTTTCAGGATTTTGCAGATGGAAAATAGTTTTGCTACTAAGTTATGAGGTACTTGCATAGCAGGCCATTTCTATCAACCAATTTTTATTGTTAGGATTTTCCCAGGTGTCAACTTTTTACTGTGTTTAATCCCATTGATTTGGAATTCACCAATCTTTCTTGTGATCATCCATAGCTCATATGACTAATTTCTATTACCTAAAGCATGATAATTATCTGAGCTGATTTTTACTACTTTTTTTTATTTCTTAATAAAATATGTATCCAGAAGATAAGCTACAGGAAGGGTAATTATTTTTCCTACTGATTTATATTCTTTTTTTTTTATGATGTTATTAAACTGCTACTTAAAGTACCAGAAAGCATGTATTAAAAACCACTACTACCTAAATAAAAACAGATCAGACATTTAACTAACATGAGGCATTTGTTCCTTAATTAAAAAGAATTGTGAAGTGCATTGTTTCAGTATGAGAAGATGGGATGCACGATACTTTGAACAAGGCCAAAACAAACTATGTTTTCTACACAATGTAATACCCAAAGGTGGGAAAAAAAGAGGTTTTGAAAAAGAATAGAGAGTTGCAACATATCTTTTGCCTTTATCACCAAGAAAATACTACCCTTCCTGATATGCATAGTAAGGTGTTTTCTACCTTCTTCAGGCTTCTTCAGCCAGAACGGCTCTAGAAAGCCACATTGGCCTGGTAGTGCAAAGCTGTATAGTTGACTGTTGTCTCTTGTTTGTTGTAGGATTCAATGTGAATCACTTGGACATAGCCCCGCGTTATGCCAGCATTCTTATGGGGATCTCCAATGGCGTGGGCACGCTGTCGGGCATGGTGTGCCCACTCATCGTTGGTGCAATGACAAAACATAAGGTAACATTTCTCCATATTTTTTAGGAAAAGGATTAGGTAATGCAACAAAAATTAAGACATTTGAAAGCTTCCTGGGAACTTTATTGCATCACCAGTCTCTGCATCTGTTTTCTGTTGCTGGTTGTCTTAAACATTCCCTTTTACAATACCATAGTGTCCAGATTCTCAATTATTGTAAACTAATTATCTGTTTAGAGAGATATTGTTTTATACCACCTGAGGCTGAGACTCTGCAATATTTCCATGCTACTGGGTAATGCTTACAGGACTTGGGAAACTCTTCTACAATGCATCCCTGGTAGGGTTCCTAAGTAATCACTGTTCTACAATAAGATTAACTTAGTTATTAGAGAAAACCCTGCATTTCCAACTCCATGAGTATTTCACATGCAAGAGAGAAACTTCACTGTGAGAAAAAAAAAAATCCTCATGTTTTATTTTTTTAACCATTGTTATTTAAATAAAAAACAACTTCACAGTGACTCATAAATTGTTCTGTCTGTAACATCAGGAATCAAACAGTGATCATGGTCATTCTTCAATACATGCTAATTCATTGTCTAATTCGGAGAGTCATATTTCTTTTTACTGTAAACTTAATGAGACCTGCACTATTCTTTCAGACCCGGGAAGAATGGCAAAACGTCTTTCTGATTGCAGCCCTGGTGCATTACAGTGGAGTGATATTCTATGCTATCTTTGCTTCTGGGGAGATGCAGGAATGGGCTGACCCTGAAAACCTCAGTGAAGAGAAGTGTGGCATAATTGATCAGGATGAACTGGCTGAAGAAACAGAGATGAACAATGAAACTTTTGTAAGTCCAAAGAAAATGTACGGTGCTACCAGTCAAAACAGTAAAGTACAAAGAAGGGAATGGAGAAAGCGAAAGCAAGTAACTCAAGACATAGAAGAACAGACTTCTTACCATTATGAAAATGGAAATTTTCAAGATTTGTCATAGTACTTGAAATTGCAAGGTTTGTATAGCAGCTCCTCCCATTCCCCCTTCTGCCTAGCTGTCCTAAATTATCAGGTGTCTATATTTATTCTCTTATTCAGTTGTGTAACATCTGGCCATGTGCCTAGATACAAAGGGTGGTAGTTCCCTTCTAATAGTGTGGAAGAGGGCTAACGACAATGGGACTGGAAGAAGTAATACTAAATCCTCACTCGGCCATCATATTCCCTTGGGAGCAGCTTCTATGCCTGTTAGGAGATGACCAGCCCTGACAGGGCTCCTGCCTGGGCCCAGCTGTAGGACTGACTGTAGGAGCAAGGAGCACCCTCGTCTTCTTATCTGAGCAGAGAAAAACAAGGTAGTATCAGATGGTGGATCCACAGTGATGTATGCAGTTACTGTGGCTCCAGTGTCATGAGAGTCTGCTCTGAGTGGCCCTACTTTGCCTTTTTAGTATTCTTGTAGGCTGGCATTTGAGCTTCTTATTCCAAGCAAGCTCATGCTAAAAGATCAGAGCAGAAGGAAGAGCAGATTTAGGACAGTAGGTTGTAATTAACTATTAATGGTCACTCAACAACAGGAAGAGGAACATGTAGCAGAGATGGAACAGTATTGCTTCAACAGTTCCTTCAAAGTGATTGAGAGTCTGCTTTATATGCATAGCCCACAGATTCTGGTTAAGGCAATAAAATGTATACTTTTAAGACTTCTCCCCCTCCAAAGATTTTGTGCTGGCATGAAATAAACTGTATATGAAATCATCGTTAGTGATGCAATATTATTATTCCTTATGAAAGGAAATCTTAGTCCTGTTTGGGTTAGGTTTCTCACTCAATTCGTTATTGTGGAGTAATTTAAATATATTTTTCTAGTATTATACTGATAGAATTCCTGGCCTCAACCCTAACAGTCCTCATTTAGGTGAATGAGCTTACTTACAAGAGTAAAGTTTTTAGTTCTGAATGTATAGCTTTTCAATGCCTCAGTCTTGCTGTTGCTGCAAATGAAGTACTGTACCATTTGAGAATTAACAGAGTATCTATGTCTGAAAGTAATTTTCTTTTGTCATTGGTATATATTTGTAAGTATAAAGTGTCTTTAGCCTTTTTCTACCATTTTTAGAATCAGCCAGTGGAGCATGCTATATAATCTCAAGCAGTTAGCTGAAACTCAGAGACTCATTGTGGCATTAATATTCTTTTCAGAATGGAGAATTTCAGTAAGCTGTGATTTAGTTTGTCTTTCATTATGATTACTGCCTCATTAAATTCAAGTGAAAGCTATGTTGTCTAGCCTACGATGTGCTTTGTGATGGTTCAGTATTATTGTTCTCATGTACCATATATAGCCACTGTGATGCACATGAGATTTCAACATTTCCAACATGCATTTTGCTATTTTGTTGAAGTACAGTTGATACCATGAGTGGAATTACACCTGTACATT